CCTTAAAAATAATAAATAATCTTCTCTAAACCTGCAGACCTCCTCCAGTAAGTGAACTTGCCACCAAAGGGACGATGGTTGGTGTAATTTCTGCTGCAGCCATTAATCAGAGCATTGTGTACTCCATTGTTTCAGGAAATGAAGAAGGTGAGAATTTTAGTCTGTGTTTTCACCATAAACCAATAAACTTAGAATTGGACTAATTTTAGATTAAATTATTGTTATTTATCCTAGTTTTCCCTAATAAAATTATGCTCATCTTAAATGTGATTGATAACTTTTTATGCTGAACTTGATTAAAAATCTAGTTATGTTAGCAGAAGTGATTTTTTCCCTTAAGAAATACTAAATATATAATTCTAGAAGCCTTCCTCTTCCCTGCATATGGAAATATTTAATGATACTTTTTCAAAATTAATACATCATATTTTTGGCTTTTAGTCAGAATTATTGCTTGCAGTAGTCTCTTCCCACTGTTTGTACCATCTATGTCATAGCTTAACTAATTTCTGAAGAAATTTCAAAATCATAAATGAATGAAGTTTAAGTATATAAATTAATGTACACTATACAATATGATTCCCCAAGCAGTCAAATTCGACATGCAATTAATGATTATAAGGAAACAAATATTTTGAGTTTTGTCTACCAGTCACTTTAAGAATTATAGTAGTTTCCTGGCCTCTGGGAATGAGTCCATAGTTCAGTTTTTCTCACTGATTCTTTGTTTCACCTATTATCCATAGGTTGGCTGTCCTGTGTTTTCCTCTTTGAAACGCTAGCTAGCTTGGCATATTGTATATAGCCAAGAATTGGTTAACATCCTAATGTATCTAACAAATTAATTAATATTAAATATTTTTAAAATAAATGAATATAAATACTGCCAAGCAGTTTTCAAGGAAATTATAAAGGCCTTTTAAAGGATTTTAATGACCATTACTAGAAATCACTGCCCATACAATGCAGCAAGTGTTCCACATCTTACTTTTATTGCCTCTCTTCTGTGTTCCTGCTGTGTTCCTATGCCTCCTCCCTAAATATCATTGAACTTCCCTTTGTCTTGAACTTCCAACATCTGACTAAAGCTATGATTTCTCAACCTGTTCTGATACTTTCTCTTTTTGACTCTATGTGTTCTTTTTCTTGAAGATAGCAGAGTGGCTGAATTTTTTAACCTCTCTTCCCGCAATGACTGTTTTACATTCAATTCATTTATTAATTCATTCGGCAAATATTTACTGAGCATCTATTATGTACTAAGTACTCTTCCAGCCACTAAGGGTAGATCCCTGCCTTCATAAATTTTAACAATCCAATAAGAGGAAATAGAAAATAAAAACTATTAAACAAATAAATACATAGTATTATAAGTGGTCAATGCCACGGAAAAAAATAAAATGAGGAATAACATGGAGAATGCAAGAGATGGGATAGTATATAGTTTATTAAAGTACCCTGCTTTTCACTCAAATGTATTATGTAGAAATTTATAAAAAATAGACATAAGGGCAAAATATTTTAAGATATTTAGAATAATAAATCATTTTTTCTAAAAACCCCAACATATTAAATTATCAGTTCATTTTCTAAAGTGTTCTTAGCAGAAAACTAAATCTACAAGATAGTAAGATTCATTAAATCATAAAAAGTATAATAATTCAGTAAGATCAGAAAATATTTGGTTAAACAAAATTAAATGGTTTTCTTTAAAATAGAATTTCTGAAAGCCATGGACTGAAAGCTTTTAGTATGGTAGAAGACCATCTGAATCTATGATGAGAGATATATTATTCAGTGCTTCCCAAATGTAATTGACCATAGAAACATTGATTTCCAGGAGAATCTCAAAACAACACAAAACAAAAACTATAATTTCAAGGCAGTATTTAGGGAAACACTGTGATCATTTCAAGAGCTGAAACAGTTTCCAAAAGCCAGCAGTGTGTCACTTTTATGCATTACTGTAGTTACAAATAAGTGTTTTTAGTGTTTTCGAAATTATAGTGCCTTTTAAAGAGAATTTCTTTCCTTAGGATGTAAAGAAAATGACCAAGCAATTATGTTTCAAATTCTAGATAAGTTTGGAATTAATAACGTCACAGGCGTTATCTACGTGAATGCCCCTCTGGATTATGAGACCAGGACAAGCTATGTACTTCGAGTCCAAGCTGATTCCCTGGAAGTGGTCCTTGCCAATCTCCGAGTTCCTTCAAAAAGTAAGTTACACTACTGAAGGGTTTTAAAAGGATTTTATGGTGTTTTTGCTGATTTCTAATGAAATACATTTGTATAAAATAACATTCTCAGTGGAGAAGATAGGAAAGTTATTAATATTTGGCAGATGACTGCCCACTCATTTCGACAGCTGATGTATGAAAATGCAGGGAGTGATTTCATACTCGTGAAATGTCAAGTCAATAACGCACTGTTTTCAAATTTTGTATACAATATTGTTAAAATATCACCATTATCTGTGCGTATTAAACAATAAACCTCATTCTTAATCCCACAGTGAGGCTCTGGATAAATACTGGGGATACATATTGTCAGTGGATGACTGCAAGACTTTGCCTGTGTTGTGTGCCTTCTTGTACTTAACGTATTTTCTTAAAGCAGGAGAAAAATCATCTAAAATTAGTGACTAACAGTTATTGTAATTTATATATAACATCATATTTAGTCTACACATATCTATATGAGATGAGATTTATTACCCCATTTTACAAAGACAAGAAAAGATTAAGTAATTAAAAAAAAATAGTAATTGAAGAATCAGAGATTTAAGCCCACATATTTTGACTCCAAATTGTTTCTTAACATATCAGCATAATATACAGGGTGTCTCAAAAGTCTCCATACAAAGGAAAAATTTTGTAATGAATATTTTGTAAATAAAGGTACATTTAGCTACAGTTTCTCATTTTCTCTATGTATGGTGACTTTTGGGACTCCCTGTAGTTTACCCACATAGAGAAGCAAGTAAAAGCCTATTTGTGAAGGGGGATGACACAGATTTTAAGAGATTTTACAAATAATGAGAGAAATGCTATTCTTTTCCATTTATTGAGGTAATACTCTTTTGCACTTAACAATTCATTTTTTTTTTGTAATCACAGCAACTCTTTTAAAATCTAGAAGACTCAAGAAAACCAGATTTAATTTAACTGTTAATAGATACAATAGAGGCCTAGTAAGAGTGCAAAGTGGGGAACAGGATCTGAAACACTTACCTTGGAACCATTCCTGGACATTATATCATAGCATTCCATCAATCAGCATATTTAAAGGGGGAAGAGGAAAAAAGAAGAGAGAAGGAGATTCAGAGCCAGAAAGCCCAGGCAGCGTGAGAGAAGAGAGATCAAAATGGGAGCAATTGATGACCATGAAAATAAATCCCTCATTTTAATTTAATGCACACCTCATTTACTGATTTAGTGTAGAAGGCTGCATAGTCGCTTGTGAAGGTACAAATTATTTGAAAAATCAGATTATACAATGTGTCTTTGAAATTAAAAGAACTAATTTGTCCTCAATAATTATGCATCATCTGCATAATTAAATTGTTTAAAAATAGCCGACTAGTTCATCGAGTTTTTAAACTCTTTCAACTGCAGGCAAGTATGTTTTTTTGTTTTTTTTAAATAGAGAGGATGCTTCAAATTGTAAATTGAATTGGTTATATGAGGAGTCCAAAGTTTAGAATAGCTCTAAATTATATAATGTAACCTATCTTATTGCAAATCCAAATAAATGGGAAAGATTAAATGAAAACTATTGCTGTAATCTTTCTTTGAAACAAATGAACAGTTAGTTTTAAATATTTGGGTGGTAGAACCTGAAATTTCTCAATAAATACCTATGATATCTAGGAATAGAGATACATTAAGTTTTTATACTTGAATATAGTACAACTAGCTCCCATTATTGTAATTGAAATGTAAATCTAAGGCTAATAAAAATTTATCTAATTCACACATGTATACTTGCATGTGTCCCAGTATGCATGTAAAGGTGAGACCAATTAAAGAATTCATGAATTATCCTCTCAGAAAAACAGAAAGTCTAAAAGCTAAATGTTAGTTTGTTTAATGCCTGATGCTTTGAATATTGTTATTAACATTTCGTGACTGACTTTTGCCTCTTAAGTTTGAAATACATGTGTTTGAAATTGTATTTCAAATCCAGTTTCATTAATTAATAACTGTTAATGGCCTGTAATCAATCCTCAGTCCATTAACTATGAAAATAATAAGACCATTATGTAAATGGAGGTTAATTAATTATCTAAAGGTTCATCGCTGCTTCAGAATTAGCTGCCTATGGTCTTTAGCTCTACCACATACCATTAGAATAAAAGTAATAAAAATCAGAAGTTTAATTCATTAAAGAAGTATTTTATTGTGACTTCTTTACCAAAAATTTGTTAATGAAATCATATTCGAAGTAAATTTCACAACCATGCTGTAACTGGATTTATTATCTAAATGCAAATTAATAATTAAAATAGAAAATTTAGAACTATTCAACACTAGAAATATTTAAAATATTTTAACCTTTAGGGTGGAACATTTCAAACATATAAAAATTACAGAGAGTATTACAGTGAACCTCCTTGTGTCAACCACCCAACTCAACATTATCATGTCCTGGGAAAGAGTCTTTCATCTCTACTCCCAACTACTCACCCCTGCATTTTTCTGAAGCAGATCAGAGTCAAAAGATTCCATCTGTAAATATTTCTATATGTATCTCTTAAAGATAAGGACTCTTAAAATTTAATTGCAATACCATTAATATTCCCCCAAAATTAACAAAAATTCTTCAATACCAATATATATCTAGTCAGTATTCATATTAAACATTTATTTACAACAGAATTCAAATAATGTCTATACATTGTAATTGGTCAATAGGTCTTTTAAGTCTCTTTAAATCTGTAGGCTTCATCACTCCCATTCCTTTTTATTCACCTTGATATTTATTTATTTAAGAAATGAGATTTCTGAAACCTGGGTTGATGACTACATCTCTAAGGGGTCATTTTGTATTATTCTCTTTCTCCTTTATTTCCAGTAAATAAGTAGTTTGATCTGGAGGCTTGATCACATCCAGATTGTTTTTGTTTTTGCTTTTAAAGAAATCATTGGTGATATTCGCTCCTTGCCTAGACATCACGTCTCTTTGGCTCTCTTTTTGTGATAGGAGATAGCAGCCACTGATAGTCATTTTCCAGATTCATTAATTTCTTTTTTTCATTTCTTCTATATTCATTAGCCAAAGTATTTTTATAAAGGGAACTTTTCCATATCAAATATTCAGTTACCTGAGGTCCAACTCCTATAGGAAAGAGAGGGAAAAAAATGTTTGCCTCTTTTCCTTTACCTCCTGATTTTCAAAATAAGAAGTTGATTCACTGTCATATTCCAAATGGGAATGCTAAGATAACACATATTTTTGGTTTTATGTGTCATATCATCTCAATAGTAACTACTCAACTCTGTGGTAGCTTAAAAGCAGCGAGAGACAGTGTGTAAACAAGAGTGTGGCTGTACTACAATAAAACTTTATTTACTGAAACAGGCTGTGGGCTGGATTTGACCAAGGGGCTGTCATTCTCCTACCCTTGTTCTAACGCTTACTTTTACTTTACATGATTCACTTAGCTTCTTTTTTTTTTTTTTGCTACTGTTTATTTTTTCTGTTGCAAGCAATGCTTGTGCTTCATCCTCATTTCCCCCCACACAGCTAATTAAAAGTAATATTGCCTTATCCCTGTTAATATGAATAAGACAATCAGTCATTTAGTTATCTGTAGCTTGTCCCCTCCTCAAAGTAGGATCAAAGGAACATTATTTCCTATGATCTTGTGCATTAGTAAAAGATTGTCTAAGGCTATATAATTGAATACCAATTTGGCTGAACATAAAAGATGTGTGACTCATTTTCTTTCTTTGACTTAAATATTTCACTCCATTTTCTTATTTTATGAAGCATTGCTGTCAAAAAAGTATAATGACAAACTGGTCTTATTTCTGAATTTCTAAAGAATTTCCTTTTTTTTCTTTAAAGTTGAATATTTTTATTAAAATAATTTATGTTGACTAATCTGGGTCATTTTCTGCATATATGAATTATTATATCTGTTATGTCTCATTTGTGGAACAGTTTCTTGAATTCTAGATTTTATTATTTTTTTCTCTTTGATTAATTTGGTTTTCATCCTAGGAGACACCTATGACAAAACTGATGAATCTTCCCATATGCTTTCCATCACTTTCCCCCAATCTCTTAAATATCTTTTGTTATTTCTTTTAGATTTTTAAAAATTTTCCTCCTTTTGATCTTCCGTTTCCTTAAATGCATTAATGCTGGTTCGTGATCTCTTGTGTCTTCATTTCTGAAATTATGTTTCATTTATTTCTAAATATTTCTCAACTAGATTTTTTCAGATTTTCTTTTTCCAATCTCCCTTTCTCAGCCATTACATTTCTAAGTTTTTCTAGTTGTAATGTATGTTTTTCTTTCAATAGCTTTCTTTTCTTCTACCCATAAATTATTTTAGTTAGTTTTAAAATACTAATAGACAGTTTGCATATTTTTTAAAAGTCTTCATTTTTTTTAGAGTCATTATTTTGCTTGCTAGTTTCTTTTTACTTGGTGGGTTTTCACTATAATTATTTTCTATTTTTCATGTTTAAGTAAAACTAATTTGCCTATACTCTTAAAAAGGGGAAGGTGGGCCAGGGTAACTATTCTAATTCACAGCTCTAGAACATCTGTTTCAATTATTTCAATTAAATGTTAAAAAATTCATCTTTCTACTTTTAGAAATCCACTAATTTTATTCTGCAGTCCCACTTTAATTGGAAAAATTATCTTTTCTCTGCCCCTATTTTACTTGCCCTGCTCCATATGTATTCTGCTCTCAGGATAGTCTCTTTTCTTCTCAGTGTGGGATTTTGCCCTGCTACTGCTTTTATGTTGCATAGTAAATTTTATGTTTAGTACTTGTTGATGAATTTGAGTTTCACTGACTGTCAGAACCAAGGGAAACCCTTAACCTTCTCTGAACTTACTTAAAAACTGTTGTTATCACATTTGCTGATAGTACAGCTCTTGTTTCTGTCTGTCTTTTCCCCCACCTGCCCATAATATGTGATTGGCTTGTTGCCTTAGGTAGTTGTAGTTATTTGTGAGTTTTTGGTTTGATGTGTAGATATAATATTACTTAAATAAAATTGATGGTGAGAAGGAGACCTAGAAGCAGAAGAATACCCACAAATTAATAATTGTATACAATTACCTGGATGATGACAAAAGGCTCCTGAGTCAGAGACAAAGGATCTTTTATTACTCAAAAGAAAAGTAGCAGCCATAGTATCAGCATAGCAATAAGCATAGAAATGCAGCTCCCTAAACTCCAAACCTCACAGGCAAAGTATAGAGCCAATTAAATAAAACCTGTAAGTGAAAAGAGTAAACTGTAGAAGAAGAGCTCTGATCTTAGGGATTCTGCCATTCTTGTAGTAAGCAATAAGTTAGTCTGTGTCAAAAGGGAGATCATGTACATTGCTAGAAAACATGATGTATTCTTGCAAGACAGTATCTTATTTTTCAGAATTGCCAGCTGCATAAGCAGTCTGGCATCCTGTATGAAAAAGTGATTGGGGATGGGAGGAGCCAAGATGGCGGATAAGACAAGCCGCCAGTCGGAAGGTCTCTGCAAAAAAGACGAATTTTAGAAGAAAGAGAAAAAAAGTAAGCTAGCAGAGAAACATAGATCGGGTGAGGGTCGGAAGGAAGGGTGCCTGAAAGTACAGGAGACTCCATGGAAAGACGTTGCGGAGGAGAACTGGAAGGAGAAAGGTCCCGGGAGGTTAGGAGACCAGCGACAAGGGTAGGTGGAGCAGTTAACTTCCCTCTCCCTTGCATCTCGGACTGCTGGTGGCTCCTGAGCAGCTGGAGAGACCTGCCGACACCAGCCCAGAGACGGCTGCCGCCAGTGAGTAGTGGCCTCTTGCGGACTCAGCGCCAGGCTCCTAGCCCCCTTGGGGAACCTCCCAGGGCACAGACCCGAGCCTATCTGCAGACGCCATAGTGCACCATTCTCTCCTTCCCCCTCCCTACCCATGTGTGCCCAGAGAGACAATTTAGCCATCACACAGAGGCATCTCCAAGGAATGGGACCTT